CCCATCTGCGGAACCGAGCTGAGAGCGTCGCCTACTTGCAGAGTCGCCCTGATGCTCCCTCCTAGGGTCATGCCCGCACCAGCCCCTGCTGTCCTGTCCCCCGCGCACTCCCTTACCTGTGTGCTCGGGGACTTTGTCATTCTCCGAGACAAATGTCGCTTCTTGTCTGACCGAGAGAGAAGCGCCACCCCAGCAGGGAGTGTCGTCCGTCCGCTGCAGCGTCCCCGACACCACTGAGGCCCAGAGCCGGCCGCCCTCAGCCGCTGCTCACTTACGTATCGTGGACGGATGAATGACCGAGTAAGAAGCGCCACACTGGACACGCACTGTTTGGTGGCAGTGGCCGTGCTCCGAGTTTCTTTTGGGAGAAAAGCCGTCGCCAAGCCACCTTCAGAGTCAGTACGGCTGTTCCCAGGGCCGAGCGCGCGTTGAGGCCTGAGCTCCTGTTGCGCTGTCTCCGTTCTCCAGGGCTGGAGGATGGGGGCCCGGCCCTGCCTGTGCTGGGGACACAGCGCAGGAGTCACACGTGCAGCGGGATTCCCGGGACTCCTGGACGGGGCCAGAGGACACCGTGTCCGTCCAAACCAGTCAGGCCATCAGGGAGCCACGGCTGCACAGAAGGTTCCCACAGCCTGTGCTTCAGAGGCTGGGCTGGGCGGCCGGGGGGAGAAGCCGCCCTCTCTGACCGGAACCCACGCCTGACATCCCAGCCAGCGAAGGCCCGGAAGGTGGAAGAGCGGGGAGTCTGACTCGCTTCATTCATCTGGGCACTTGCAATGGCACGAACGGCGCTCACCTCCTTCATCCCCAAGGTGCCTCACACTGTGAACTCGCAGGCCCCCAGATTGCAGCCGGGGGGGGGGGGGGCGACTACAGGGAACGTGTTACTCTGCTGGAAGAGACTTTAAGGGATTGCGCCTCCCAAGGGCCTGCCCACTTGACATGTTCTAGAAGGAAAGTCCGGTATCAACAGAATCTGAACAGAAGTCCGGTATCATAAATCTGAACAGAAACCGAAAGAGCAAATGGCAATGTGCATGAGGGGGACCCTTTTATTTGTGCCAACCCCAACATGCCCCCAGCTCCTTGGCCCCAGGGGCCTGCCCCTTGTTGTTACTGCTCTTTGCCTCCTCTTCATCTCTCAGGACATCCTCCCAGGATCCTCGCAGGGCGCTTCAGAGCCCAGGCTCTTCCAGGAAGCACGTGTCTTTGGGAACAGACTGTACCACTTGAAGTTCTGAAGCCAGCTGTGTTTCGGTTCCAGGATCGAGGGAGAAAGTGATCTGCAGGGCTGGGAGGAACCTCGGGTTAGCGACTCAGCCAGGATAAATCACACTGGAAGCAAAGAAAGACTTTCTCAAAGATCCCTAAGAAAAGGAAGCGCATCTCCAGTTGGCCCGTGGGTCTTACTCATTCGTCCATCCATTTATTTTTATTCATGCAACATTTGGACAAAGTTTACCGTAAGCAAGGTCTGTGCTCAATGCCCGAAATACCAGAATCCCAAGATAAATACGATCTGTGCTTCCCTTTCAGTAGCCCAGAGTCTAGAAGAGGAGACAGGCAGGTGTATCCGGGCAGCAGTGCAGTTTGACAAGGGCCACGGCAGAGGTGTGGTCGGTGGAGGTGTCCCGAGATGGTGAGAGACACCTCTTCAGAGGAGAAGGGGGGCTTTAACTGTTGAATAACTGCAGGACCAGGGCACGGAGAGGCCAGAGCACACTGGTGTGGTCCCAACCGGGGCCTGTGGGCCACGGATCTTTCCCACTAACATGGAGCTTCTCCAGGGTTCAGAGAGAGGGGAAAAGAGCAAAGTACAATGTCGAGTATCGGAAGTCCGGGTGGTAGTTACCCTTGGTGAGGTCGTGACCAGGGTGGGGCGTGAGAGGGGCTCCAGGGTGCCAGCTTCCTGTTTCTCGATGGCTTCGTTTACTTTGTGAAAGTAAACCAAACAGAACACTGTGATAAATGCATTTTCAGTGTAAATGTTCAATAACATTCAAACACCTCACGTACCCTTCAGTCGGGCATGGCTCAAATTCTCACGAATGGCTCCAGCTAACAGCGGGCGTAGAAGGTGGAGATAGAGACATGAAGCAAAGCCACGCTGAGACAGCCCTGGATGCCCAGTTAAGGAGTTCGAGCTTCATCCCCAAAGACTCACAGAGGGAGCAAGCACGCGAAGGAGCTGAGGAGTGTTTCAGAGCGTGGCCTCCGGAGCTTGGCCCCTCATGCCACAACTGAGTTACGGTGTGAAAACTTGAAACTCGCCACCTACAAAATGCAGCCATGGTTGTGTTTGCCCCCAGAAGCTATTTTGAGGATTGAAAAAGATAATGCACAGGAATATTTAGGAGAGTGCTCACCGTAGGTGACAAGAAACGTTTGCATTTTAGAAAGCCTCCTCAGGCAGGAACGAGGACAACGAGGACAACGGATGGGGGACGGCCAGACCAGCACAGGGAGATGACCCAGGAGGCTGTGCCAGTCATCCGGGAAGACAGAATGAGAGCCTGGCCGGAATAGGGACAGTGGGAGATCTCAAGGAGAGGTCCACAAATTTGGGGGAAGGGGGCTTACAATGAACAGGCTTGACCTGGGAAATGAAAGGGAGCAAAGTCCAAGGTGACTGTCAGGCGTCTGGCTCAGGGCTCTGTGAGGATGGTGATGCCATTAGAAAGTCAACATGAGGGGCCCCTGGGTGGCTTAGGGGTTGAGCATCTGCCTGTGGCTCAGGTCGTGATCCCGGGGTTCCGGGATCGAGTCCCACATTGGGCTCCCTGCATGGAGCCTGTGTCTCCTTCTGCCTGTGTCTCTGCCTCTTTCTGTGTCTCTCATGAATAAATACATAAATAAAATCTAGAAAGAAAGAAAGAAAGAAAGAAAGAAAGAAAGAAAGAAAGAAAGAAAGAAAGAAAGTCAACATGAGGAATAGACGTGGCAAGATCATGCATCCAATTTGGAACCTGTTGAGTGTAGGGGTCCTGGGGACAGCCAGGTGGGCATGTCCATAGGAACTCAGTAGAGGTGTTGGAGCTAAAGACATAGATTTGGGAAGGATAGAAAAGATTGTTGAAGGCGAGTGAGTAGGTGAGATCCTTCGGGGATGATGTATTGAGTGAGAAGGGCCAGGGACCAAAGATAGAGCCCCTAAGGAGCATGGACTTTTAAGGGACAGACCAAGGAAAGGAACCTGTGAAGAAATGTGAGAAGAAATGATGAGAAAGGTAGAGGAAACAACCCGCGGAGAGTGCTGCTGGAGTAGCCAGGCAGGTGTCGCCAACTGTGACAGATGCCACGGAAATAACCCGTTAAATGAAGACAAAGCAGTGTTCAATGACCCTACACAGGATGGCCGTGGTGACTTCGGCGACAGCTAGTCCGGGGCCACAGCGGGACGCAAGCAGGATTGTCCCGGGTGTGTGTCCCGTGACTTGCAAGAAAGCAGCCAACAGATGCAGTCCCAGGGAAGGAGAGCTAGAGGGCAAGGAGCTGGAGAGGAATGAGGAGTCAGTCTTTTCCTAAGATCACAGTTTCCAGGATTCACCACCGCCTGTTTTGGAGAAGGTTAGATCTCGGTCTCGATCCGCACCCCCCACACACACACACACCATCTCTCTTTCCTTCTCTTCCTCTCTCCCTTCCTCCTTCCTTTTTTTCCGTTCTGAGTTCCTTCTCCAGAAGCCAAAGAGTAACTTCTATAACGGGAAACACTGAATCTATTACCTTTCTGAGTATTTTAAAAATAAGATGTTGAAAATTGGGTATGTTGAGGCAAGGAAGCCAGAAGCACCCAGCTGAGAAGGGAGTTGGAGCAGGGCCAGGAGAAAGGGCTTGCCCTGGGCCCGCTGCCCCCCCCCACCCTCTTGGGGTCCATCTGTGCGGGAAGATGGTTTGGGAGTGAGTGTGACTGAGCAGATACAGTCCTCGCCTTTGGGGACCCTGCCTCAGTGGCGTCACAGCCTGTAGGGCCCGCCGCTGGCTGAGGCGGCTGTAGGGGAGCTGGCACCGCGCTCCTTGCGGTGATGCCCTGCGAGCTGTGTCCTGGCTGCGCCCCAGCCCGGTCCACCCGGCGGGCTTCCACCTGCCCCGAGAACTTGGGTTCTCGCCCACGCTGCCAGACCCGCACCAGCTTCAGGTAGGGCTCGAGCACACAGTCTTCAGAACCTCCCTCTGTGGCCTTCGGTTAGTCCCTGAGTGGTGGTCGTTTTGCCACTTCCTGAGGGGTTCTGTGAGTCATTCTCCCGTTAGCATATAGGACATCACAGGGCATCGGGGTGATGCTCCACGACATCAGGTGGGCCATCCCACGCGGTGAGGCGCTCAGCTAAGGTTGGCTCGCGAGAGGGCGAGGGCGTGACATCTGCCCTGGACATGAGCTCCCCGGGCAGGTGCTCGGCTCGTGCGTGTCTTTGCCCCTCCACCGCCAGCTCCCTCGGGCTCTGGCCGTCCATCCATCCCACAGACATTTACTGAGCACCTCCTGGGTGCCAGAAACTGCACGAGGTCAGCCGAGAGTTCGGCAGTGAACCAGATCCCGGGTTCTGGAAGCGGAGACGGCCAACGGGGCAACGAATGGACGACCAAATCCGATAACCACCGGCTGTGGCAAGCTCCCGGAAGGACGAGCTCCGTAATGAATAAGGGGCCTGCTTGTGCTCCGACCTGAAGGCGGCCAGGGAGGGAATAATCAGTTGCCCCTCGACTTCAGCGTTTCTTTCCATAAAACCATCCAAGGGGTATCCAATTTGGAACCTGTTGAGTGTAGGGGTCCTGGGGACAGCCAGGTGGGCATGTCCATAGGAACTCACAAGGTGACGGGGTACGGGTTGTCCCTGTCCCATTTGCTCCTTCATGGGTCACTGCCTCTCTAAGGGTTGTTCACGCCGGCTGCAGTAGGGGGTGACAGGGGCCCCGGAGGGACGGGGACAAGGCGCCCGGCCGCACGGCGCTCTCTGCCCCGACCCAGCCGCTGGAGCCCACCCCGCTTTGTTCTGCAGGTGAGCCGGCCTCATCCCAGCGACCACCCTCTGCTGATCCTCTTCGTGGTGGGCGGAGTCACTGTCTCTGAAGCCAAGATGCTCAAAGACCTCGTGCCGTCCCTGAAGCCGGGAACCCAGGTACCGGGACCGCTGGGGGCGCAGAAGTGGGAGGGTGGCCGCCGAGGGCCCTTCCTGCAGCTTCCCAGCGCCTCTCCCCATCTCCACCTACCTTCCTGCTCCTACCCCCTCCGTCTGCCCCAGGGCCAGTGTCCTCCTGATGGGGAGGCCCGGGGGAGAGCTGTCCCTTACGGTCCTCGCCCACCTCTGGGCTTCCAGCGGCTGCCATCCCTAGTCCCGATTCCTGAAGGGCACGTATTCTCTAGTGGCCGGTCAGCTCTTGATCACTCAAGAGTTGCTACTGCTTTCCAGGCTCCAGATACCTGAGGGCGACTCCCAGGGACCACGTCCCCACCGTGGCACCTGGAGGGCTGGAGAAATTGGGGGAGGCACGTCATCAAGGCAGTGACACACGTAGGTAGCCTCTCTCTCTGTCGCCTCCTGCCGGGTCCCGCTCATCCCCCTCGTAAGTGGCCCGGGGTCACGAACACAGACCCCTCGCTGGTACAGCTCTGCCGTTGAGCAGCCGGCGGATGTGGGCGAGCACAGGCTTCGGTTTTCCCACGGAGGAGCCGGGCTAGGTGGCTGCGAGCCTTAGACAGGGAAGGGGAGAGAAGGCACTCCCAGCTCGGTGGCGGCCGCACGGCTCTCGCTCTCCGTCAAGGGGGGCCACCCTTCGCATCAGCTGCTTCTGGGTGTGACCGAGCGCGCTCTGCAGGAGATTCAGCTGCTGGCACGACGCTTGGGGAGCCCGGGGAGGCACCCCGGGAGCAGAGCCGCTGCCCTGCCTCCGGAAGTTCCATCTGTCTGGGGAAGCGGAGCCTGTCACACGGTAAGACGTCAAGTCCTCACTTGCACAGGCTCCCCAAAGCAGACCATGGGACAGGGACATGAGAGCGGGTGGCTTATGTGGGGGATGCCCCAGGAGGCGGAAGTGAGGGAGTCTGAAAAGACAAGACACTGGAGAAAGGAAAGCCAGGGAAGCCGAGGCTCCGTGCCCTGGGGGCCCCGAGGAACCCGGACGACACGCCCCAGAACCGTCCTGCTGGAAGACAGGGGTGTCCGGAGCATCTTCCCATTGAGCCTCGCCTCCTGCTCCCCACCTGAGACTTGCCTTTCGGGGCCGGTCTCCAGCTCTGTGCCACCTCTGCAGGCAGCTGTGTGGCCCTCCAGGGTTTGGAGAAAGCGGAAGACACGCAGGGGCCGTGCTCTGGGTGGCACGCGGGCTGACGCAGGGGACTGTCCATCAGAGCTGCTCGGCATCCCGAGGGGGTTCCGGGCTGGGGGGCCGGGGCTTGGGCTCCCACCTGCACCCACGATGGTGCCTGTCCCCCTGGCCAGTCCAGGGAGCCTCCGTGAAGGCCCTGCCCGCCTCTGCACTTGGCGGCCCACCCCTGGCCTGCCCCATCTCCTCAAGTGGACGTGGATTCCGTAACCAAAGCCGGGGCGCCCCGGGCCTGAGCACGTGGCAGGAGCTCTGCAGGCCTGGCCTGCCGGCTTGACAGGGTGCAGAGCTGACCCACGGGTGGAGGGGCTGCACCGCCGTGAGGCACAGAAGGCCTGGGCCCGGGGCCTCCAGACACCCGGCCTCAGAAGGGACCTGAGGACCTACGCAGCTGCCGTACGTTCTTGAACAGGGGGTGACAGTCGCTGGCTGTGACCATTCCTGCCCTCACTACCACCTGTCAAGGTCACAGCTGGCAGAATTTCGGACAAACTGGCAAATCCTGCCCCATGTAACATCCTTTCGGCAACACCAAGGATCTGTCTAGCGAGACTTTCTGAGCAAGACTTTTTAGTTTTTTTTTTTTTTTTTTAATCAGAAAGCACACTTCTCACTGCCCCTAATGGGGTGAACCAAATCCTTAGCTCTCCAGAACAGCGCCACATCCTAACAGCCCGACGGGCACCCTAACCCTCACTCTAAAAGTATAAAAGGCGGACGTTGTTCAAAGCGGCCTGACCTGAGGTTGACAACCCGGCCCCGGAACCTGCAGCGGCTTTGCCACCACCTGACCCCGTGCTCAGGCTTCTGCAGAGGGAGCCCCTCCAAGAGTTTGGGGCTCAAGGCGCCGCTGGGATTGCCGTGTGTCCGTTGTGCAGAAAGTTCCGCCAAAGAGCTAGCGGGGCCCCAGGAAGACACCCCGCTCCTCCCGAGGCAGCAGCGGAGAAGAGCAGAGGGGTTCTCTATTGTAGAGCCCTTCGTCTCCAAGCTGCTGAGAGGGGGTGTGTACCCGGCTGTTGGCTGGAGGGACACCTGCAGAGGCCGCTCCCCCTTACTCCGACCTCAGCAGACGTGCAGCTGCCCTGGGTCTGCGGCCACCTCTGCGCAAATCTGGGACCGGGGCCGCTGCCGGCTTTTGCAGGTGCGGTGGAGATCAGGCGCTGCTGCCCCAGCTGGCGGCGGTGGCCCGCATACTGGGGCCGTGACCCGCTCCGACGCTCAGGTCAGTTGGGGAACACAGGCCAACTAACCGAAAGGCACCGGTTCTCCTGGATCGGCGTTGCCAACAGACCTTCAACCAAGAAGCCAACGCCGACGTGACTGCCGACGGGAACAGCGGTAGTGGACGGATCCGACTCCGTGTCCTGTGTGGACCAGCCAGCCTGCACTCCAACGTCTCCAGGGGCGAGGACTTGCCCCCCCCCGGCCCCCCGCAGTCCACCTGAGTCTCAGAAGGCCTCACTGCTACGACTCGCTCCCCTGGATGAGTCCGCGTCTGCCCCCTCGGAGCCCCGCTCCTCAGTGCCGCTTCCCTGCAGGACTGACAAGCGAACCAGCCCCGTCCCCCTTCCACGAGTTCGCCCCCAGGTCTGCTCTTCTGCACACGGAGGCCTCTCAGTCCCCCGACGTGCATCTGAGCGTGCCCTGGCAGGCTCTGGGGGGCCCTCCTCAGCCCCCTTGAGCCACCCTTGCCTCTGCCTCCCACACTCAGGTGGAACTGAGGGCCCCGTCCGCCTCGGGCCCACCGCAGCCCACGCGGCCCAGCACACCGTCCAAGGGATGGACTCTGGGCTCGGTTTTCACTGCTCCAGAAGCGTCGGCATCGACTGAGTCTCTAGCCTTTTCTCTCCCAGTTCCTCGGTCCTGCCAGCACGCCTCACCCATCCTGGGAGCTCTTGCTCGCTGGCCCTACTGCGTGCCCTCCCCTCGGCCGGAGAGGAATGTGCCGTTCTGGCTCTGGAAGGACCGCAGGGCCCAACAGGTCCCCAGGATGGGAGAGGGACCTCGGGCCCAGGAGCTGCCCGGGCCTCGCAGGAGTCCACCGCCTGCCGGGGGGCCTCTTCCTACTACTCTTCTGCTTGCTTGCTCCCCTCCAGCCTCAGGACTTTGAGCTTCTTTTTTTTTTTACTATTTTGTTCCCAAGCACTTGAATTAGGGTCAGGCTTGCTGGGTGTCATGATTGCGGGTTGATTGCTAAGTACTGAACACTAGCAACTTTCCTGGTATTACTGTCACAGAAGGTCAAAGGGGCTCTTCCGGGGAATTCACCAACCTGTTGATCGGCTCCTGAGAGCCTGGACAACTAAAACCAGCCCGACTCTTGTATCCGTTCCTATTAATCCCCGTCTTCTCCAGATGCACATCTTCTATCTCCGTGTGCCTGGGTGCTATGGGGACCCCAGTACAGGAGCCTACGGTCACAGCTACCAAACCCGGTTAGTGGGCTATCCGGTGAACATTTGTTTAATGTCTGCTGGGTGCCCAGCACCGCTCTTGTGCCAGGGGTAGAGCAGCGAGCGAGACAGCCCCATGCTTGCTCTCATGGGACTTAAATTCTCATCGTGAGTGACCGACGTGGAACACGAGAAACTCCAGCCAGAGACAAGCGTCCCAAGAACACAGGCGGTGCTGTGGTGGGAAGAAGTGGAGGGGGACGCTCCTTCCCACGGCACAGGCTCCCCGTGGAGGAGAAGGCTTTGAGAAGCTTTCAGGGACCAAGGAAAATCATAGAACCCATTTGAGGCACAGGAGAAATGATTTCTCTTCCGCGAAGCATGACACATGGGATCCAGAGACCACATCTGCACCTGCTTGTCTTCCAGGACGGTTGTCACACTCTAAAACGGGTGTGTGTCCTCCGCTCTCCACCCTCGGTTGTTGGTCCGCGTGCCAATGGGAAAAAGCCGGCAGCTGGAGAAGGCCCTCCTCCATCCTGACTACAGAAAAAGGGGATCGAAGAGGCGGCTCCCGCCACCCCACCCCACACACCCCCCACGGTGAGGCAGGAAGCTGTGTAGGCTTCCCCTCGCTCCGGAGCGCGTGCCTGGCACCGGCCTCTGTCTCACTTGCTGCCTGCTGTGGGGCCCGGGGCCCAGGCGGCCCTGCAGGCTAGGCTCCGTGCCTGGATGGTGGCCACGAGGCCCCAAGGGAGGGACCGTCCCAGAAAACACAGGGGAGGACCAGCTCGGGAAACAGAGGAAGGCCGTGTGGGCACATCGGCCCCGCCATCCACTGCTTTTCATAGGCAGGCACATGCTGCCCACCCACACTTGCTGGCAGTTCTGCGTTTCTGGAGCTGCCTGTTTACTCAGCGTGTAATAGAAAAAAAGGTCAACTGAGAAGCATGTTCATACACACAGTTTGGCATGACGTTAGGGGTTCAGGATGCCGAAATCCTGACCCTAAAACCCGGCTCCAGGTTCTTCTCAGATTGATTGAAAGGCCCAAGGAGAGGAGTCCAGTGACTCCTTTCTTTTTCCAGTCTAGATTTATTTTATTCTCTCTCTCTCTCTCTTTTCTTTTTTTTTTTTTTTGAGATTTATTTCTTTATTTGGGAGGTGGAGAGGGGCCGAGGGAGAGGGTGAGAATCTCAGGCAGACTCCACACGGAGCAGGGAGCCTGACCCGGGGCTCAATCACATGACCCTGACCCTGACAACCTGAGCTGAAATCAAGAGTCAGCCGCTTAACTGCCCGAGCCTCCCCGGCGCCCCTAGATTCATTTTATTCTGAAGTTTCTTACTCTGAGGAGAACATCAGTGAGGTTTTAAATGCATCTTTTTGCCTGAGTTAGCCTGGAGCCCTATAACCTGCCCTTGAAACTCTGGAGAAAGTACAGATGGGGGTATTGGATGGCAGGCAGTCCACGAGTTCACCGTACTCTCATCCACGCCGCCCTTCACTCCTGTGAATCAACAATTCTGAGATCATTTGCAGCGTGAGGTTTTGTTCTCACATCCCCTCCACAAGGAACTTCTTGTTAAACAACCCCCAGAAGGGACACAGGTGAGGAAGTGACCTGCGATGTCCGTGTCTTCTTTGGGTGGCTCAGTCAACCGAGCTCAGAGGCGGTGTGTTAGCAGGTCAGACAGTTCACAGGGGGTTCCCAGAAGGCCTGGTCGTTAATCTGCTCTCCCACCGGCTTAAAGACACAAACCTTCCACGTCTAACACGCACGTATGAGTAGGTGTGCGCACGCATGTGGCACCCGTGCAAGCAGCGGTAGGCCGCGCCTTGAATATGCGCTGGAGCGCAGGGCTGGCTCAGAGCCCCCGGGCCACCTCGGGCTTGTTCAGCGGCTCTGGGGGCCCTGGGGGGCCCTGGGGTCCCCGCTCCCAGCCCCCGGCCCAGACATGGAAGTCTTCATCCGTACCCTCAGCCGTCTGGACAGAAACCAGTTCTCTGAAGGAATATTGCCAACAACCAAACATTCGATGGCTGCTTATAAAATCCTAATTGTCTAACAGGCCAGTCTCAGACCCTCTTAAATTCCTTCCCATCTTTGGCCATCTTCTGGTCCCCCACTTGGCTAATTTTTTTAGAATTCTTAGAACTGTTTTTCGTCCACTAATGCAGACATGCCTCAGTTGAATGGGCTGAAAACCTCTAAAAACGCTCAGATGGGTCTGAAGACCAACAGACGCTGAGAATACGCCAAAGCTCACGGCCCCTCGGCGGCAACAGGCTAATGGGACGATGGCCACGCAGCCCTGCCCGCATCCCAGTAGGAAACTCACACAAATACTTGAGCTGATTAGAGACCATTTTGCCAGAGCTGTTGGTGCTCTGCTACGAGAGCCTCCCGGCGCGAAAACCTTCCCACCGACCGTTGCTAAACCCACTGCCTCCTTCCTCGTCTGACCGTTGGTGTTCACCCACTTAATCACTAAGTCACTGTCTCCGGGGCCCGCTGGGTGTCAGGCATTGTGTGAAGACACAGCGGGAGGACGCGGGGAAGGCAGCAGGGGATGCGGTGTGATACCAACAGCCGTGGGAACACACTCTGTCTTGAGGAGGGGTGGTCCTGGAAGGCTTCCTGCAGGTGATGATGCCGGAGCCGACTGTTGAAGGACCGAGAGGGCCTCAGGCAAAGAGCAGGGGAATTCACGTTCCAGGGCAAGAAGCACCCCCAAAGTCCCAGCTGCGCAGCTGCCAGTAGTTTAGGACGGCCGAGTGTGCACCTGCTGGCGAAGGGGGTGTGCTGGTGAGGGGGTGGGGCCTGGGGCGCTGAGCATCCCTCGGATTCCCAGGTCCTGGAATGCTCTGGGGGGTGTTGGGTTTATCAAAGGGCGGGGAGGAGGTGGTCAGGGCTTTAGGCCCATGAGTAACACAGGTTTACACTTGGGGAGGACGGTGACTCAACCTCCCCCACTGTGGCCCCGGGGCTGCCATGAGCTGGAGAGAGGGAATGTCGCGGAGGGTGAAAGTGGTCAGGATGTGACGCTAATGAGCACAGCAACACAAGTACTGTTCTCAGCCCCATGAGGGCCCGTCAGCTGCACCAATCCCGTGCGCCCTTCCTAAGGGGCACGTCGGGTGGCATCCTTACTCCCACTTCACAGACGAGGCCATTGAGGCCCAGGGGGAGGAAGATGAGGCCCAGGTCAGACACCCCTAAGTCTGTGCTCTCACCCAGTACCACCTGGCAGGAGGCCTTGGTCTCCACCTCCCCCTCCTCAGAGACCTCCTGGCTCCCTTCACACGCTGCCCTGGTTTTCCATCTGTTTCTTTCCGGCCCTCCACAGGGCTCGTCCCAGGCCTCCTCTGCTCCAGCCCGCGTACTAAATACCTGCCTGTTTAGACGGGAGGGGCCTGGTCTTTGGTTCCAGCTCAGGGGAGGTCACAGCTCAGGGGAAGCCCAGCACACGGTCCAAGGGATGGACTCTGGGCTCCAGAAGCGTCGGCATCGACGGAGTCTCCAGCCTTTTCTCTCCCAGTTCCTCGGTCCCGCCAGCACGCCTCACCCATCCTGGGGGCTCTTGCTCGCTGGCCCTACTGCGTGCCCTCCCCTTGGCCGGAGAGGAACGTGCCGTTCTGGCTCTGGAAGGACCACAGGGGCCTGCAGTGCTGGGGGGCATGGGCAGGTCCCGAGGGCAGGAGGGGGGCCCTCTGCGGCCTCACAGGAGTCCACCGCTAGAGAGTACGCAAGAGACTTTGGTTCCCATGTACACATTTAAAAAAAATACCCGAATAAGGGTGTCCTACTTGGTGGAGGAGGAGTCCTAGCTGTACACAAAGCCCACCCAGAACTATATTCAGAATCCTGTGTGTGTGCACAGACACGTATTTTTCTAGAGCGTTCTTAGATTTTGCAACATGCAAAAGGAGACCTGTGACCCAATCACAAAGCCACAATAAAACAGCAGCTCACAATTGCCGAGCGCCTCCTGTGCTCTGCGCACTGGACTTTACGTAATCCTCGCTGCCAGCCGGGGGCTGCTGCTTTCCTTCTGGGACGCGCACCGGAAAGCTCCCAGGGAAGTGACTTCCTCTGGGGCACGTGGCCGGTCTGCAGTGGAGCCGGGCTCTCCGGGGCTCTGATGAGGGTGCCCGCCTGGGCGCCACCCGGGCGGCGTGGCGTGGGGAGATCCCGAGGAGTCAGTGGAGACCCTCCCCAGAGTCCGTGTCCGAATGGTGTCTACGCCGAGCGCGCAGATAAGGGGATGCTAACGTGCATTTGCTGCCCTCAAGCTCTCATCACCTGGCTTTCAAGGATGACTGTGGGCCCGGACTTTAGTATTTCTTTTTCCGCCAAAACTACAGCTCGGCTGACGTTAACTGTATACTGTTTAAGAAGATTCTCTCTGGAGAAAAAGTAAAAATAGCTGCGTGCAAGGGCTACCTTTTGTTTTAAGCAGAAAACGTTTTCATAATCCTCGCTTCTTGAACAAAGAGAAGAAAATGATAAAATGTTTTCTTCTCTCCTTCCTCCCTTGACTTTCGGCCCCACCTGCCTTTCCTCCGTGTGGGAGTGTGGACTCTTGTTTTTAACTGATGGGAGCTGGGAGCTGGCCACGTCATCGGCTTGGGTACACCTGGAAGGTCTGCGGGTGGGGGTGCAGAAGGAGGAGGTGCGCGAGCATGCGCATTCCCGGGTCATATGGCCAGGTGAAGCCCAGTCCCCTCTGCTCAGGAGCTGGGCTGAGGAATTCCAGGTCTAGAACCTCCTCCCGCATTCCCAGCGGCAGCTCCCCAGCTGGCCATCTCTGCAAACCTCACCAGACCCAGCCCAGCCCCGCTGAACAAGTTGCTCGGGTGCTACAGAGAGAAAACTGCCTGAGAGGCAAGGTCCAGACCAAAGGACGCAGCAGGGCAGAGAGGCCCAAAGGTCCCCCTGGGCTAGGGGAGCAAACCAACCTTGCCCAGGCCCCTTGACATGACAGGAGTGACCACGTGGGCAACTGGATGCTGGGGTCAGCCTGTCTGGTCGGAATCCTAGCCCAGCTATCTCCTGTGTGTCCTTGGGCAAGTGGGTTGAGCCTTTCTGTACTTTATCTCCCTTAACTACAAAATAGGAGTAACGTGTGTACACATGGCACAAGGTTGTGATGAAGATTATGTGGCTATCAAGTGAGACCAGCCTCAGAGCCTGGCGCATCCTAAGAACCAATAAGTATTAGCCAATACCATCATTAGCCCACCATCGTTATAGGTCGAATCGTGTCCTCCTCCCAAAAGATGCTGAAGTCTGAACCCCTACAGCCTGCAAATGTGACCTTATTGGACATAGGTCTTGGCAGGTGATCGTGTTAAGATGAGGTCATTAGGGTGAGCTCTCATCCGGTATGACTGTGACCTTATTAAAAAAAAAGGGGGGGGCGAGGGGGAATTTGGACAGAAAGACACACATAGATGGAAGACAGTGCGAAGGCACAAGGAAGCTGAGAGGAAAGCATAGACTGATTCTCCCTCACAACCCTTGGGAGGCACCGACCCCACCAACACCCTCGTCTTGGACTTGCGGCATTCAGAACCATGAGACAATAAATTACTGTTATTCGAAATGTCCAGTTCTGGGGACTAGGAAGTTAACAGAGTCATCATCATTTTCACCCACAACACCGTCCGCCTCTTGGGTGTCCTTCTCAATGCTCCCTGAAGGAGCGGAGGCTCCCTGGAGAAGAGAGAAACCTCTCTCTCTCTTCTCTCCCCCCGCCCCCCTTGGTCACATCACTGGATCCCAAAGCTACAGTATGATCGGATTCGGTTCAGCCGCCAGGTTGTGGCTGGGCGAGGCCATCCTGGGTGCCAGCGGGTTAAAGGTTCAGGAACCCTGCTGTCCCACAGGCCATCCTTCCCAGCCTGGGCACCCGTCCCCCCACCCAGGACACTAGCCTCCAGTGACCTTCGAGCTGCCCCCCCCCAGCTTTCCCCCCACAGTGCCCCACTCCACGCCTTCCCCCATAGAAACACATTGTCTTTTCTTTCCCGACGTCCGATAACCTGGGGTCGGCTTCCCTAATGGTCTGCGGTGTGTTTGTCCCTCCCGCTGGTAGGTCATCGTGCTGTCCACGCGACTCCTGAAGCCGCTTAACATTCCTGAGCTGTTATTTGCCACCGACCGGCTGCATCCAGACCTTGGCTTCTGAGCGATGCTGCTGCTGCGATGACACCTGCCCGCGGTGGAAACACCTGTATTGCCGCCTGCCGCCCTTCACGACCCGCCTCCAAAACCAACGTCCTCTGCCCATTGTGGGGAGGACGGAATTCTCCCTGAAGGGTCTTGACAACACGTAGCGAAGGACTGCGCTCGGATTGCCAGGGATTCTTTAAAAAAAAAAAAAAATCATCTTCCTAAAGGTATCAAACTTTCGGCCGGCTTCATTCAACCTAATTCTCATTTCTCCTTCACCCTGTTGTTGACCTTCCTGATTCCAACGGCAAGGTTGTCAGTGCTACGTAAGCACCTGTTGGCGAGCGCTGGCGGATTACGAGCCGTTTGGTTGCAGTCGCTCAAGAAATGAGACCTGCTTTGGACTTCCGGGTGCGAGGGAAGTGTGGCTTTCCCTAAGATGATGTAACTGGAGGTGGGGGGGACATTGCAGATGGGATCTGGGACCTCGCTGAGAGGCCGGAGGGGCGGGTGGCAGCTGGGGCCTGCCCTGTCCACCCGTCCGGCCACTGTCCCCCGTGCTCGCACGCAGGGCCACCGGCCCACTTGGAACAGTGGTGGGGGAGGTGGGTTGGGCGGCTGTCCCTGCCTAGCAAAGGGCTTCCTCCCCGCCCAAGGGAAGGCCCCCTAAAGGTGTCTGGTCCAGGGAGTCCAGACGGGGACCCTGACCCCCGGGACCTCCAGGAGTCCGCGTTCCTACTGAAATAGAAAGCTCACTTTTTCTGTTGGTCTGACTTTTCCTTCCGGTTATGACAGAAAACCCTCGACCCCATGAGTGAAGCTAGTTAAGAACCCCGGCAAAAATTAACTGCTTGGAGCCCAGCCATGCATTTGTGTAGGTGTAGGGTTTGCGGAAATTTCTAGCGCCTCCGAAAGATGTTTGTAATGAAGAGAGGAAGCGGAAAAACCACTCTAGAGTGGATTAAACAGGTAGGGACGCGAAATGTCAGTCAAAACACTCACACGTGTCTCAGATTTTAGTTCCCTCTAAAATAATGTCATTTTATGAAAAAGACTGTGAAGTTGGAAAGCATTCGGAGACACGATCACAGCAGGTCTTATACACACCAGTGTTCTTTTTCTTTCCTTTTTCATTTTTTTCTCTTTTTTTGGTCCGAGTATGCTTTCCAGCTAACTCCAGTGGTGCTGATCCTGGAGAGCCCCCATGCCTCTTTCATTCCCCTTTATCTAGAAGCTTGAATCTGAGGAAGGAAGAAAATGGCAATAGCCCGAAAGAAATGGTAATTACAGCAGAGATCGCTCTTTTCTAAAATTAAAGAAAATAATAATAATAATAACCTGTTATGTGTGTCAGTATGTGTTCATTCATTTCCAGATACTGAGTGACACGTTCCAGGCACTGGGCTGGGTTCCGGCCACGCTGGTGAGGGACCCAGACGCGACGCCCCTGACTCTGGGGCTCTCGCCGACTGAGCAGCTGGGGCTCCTGGTGCCCTGGCCCTGTGAGAAGTTTTACACCGTACGTCTGTGTGCAAAGGTCACTCTCAGGGCACCTGGGGGCTCAGCGGTTGAACGTCTGCCTTTGGCTCAGGGCACCATCCTGGGGTCCTGGGATCGAGTCCCGCATCAGGCTCCCCACAGAGCCTGCTTCTCCCTCTGCCTGGGTCTCTGCCTGTCTCATGATTAAATAATGAAATCTTTTAAAAAAGGAAAAGGAAAACAAACTCTGGAAATTTAAAAATCAAACTGCTAACAAGTAGTAACCTCTGGGAAGGGGTACAGGTGGGAGGGCTCAGAAAAGGGGAAGCCTCGTTCTCTATAGACTTCTGTGTTGTTTGAGTTTTCTTCACAGCGAACACGTACTGGTGTGTCACTTGTGTGGCTTTAGTGCAGTTCTACAAGTTCTTCTTTTAAAAAAAGAATACTCGCAACCTTCTAATCCGGACTCACACAAGCAGGACGCCCCTGATTGTAAGTGTGGTCGTCCAGCAGGTACTGTGCCCCCCCAGGGGGGTCTCTGTGGGGCCAGGGGGTGCGAGGGGGGAAAGATGTCACAGGTTCGCCTTAGAACCATCCTCTTAAAAAAAAAAAAAAAAAAAAAGAACCATCCTCTTGCATCTCTGTGGTGGCCGGTTGGCCGAAGGGAGCTAGACAGGCAATCAGTTAGCGGAAGGCTTTGGACAAATGAGAAGGCTCTCGGTGACCGGAGTGTGTTTGGAAGAAGGTAGGGCCCATGGGACAGAGCATGGCTCCTCGAATTAGGAGCAGAAGCATGGGATCCCCGGGTGGCCCGGCGGTTTAACACCTGCCTTCAGCCCAGGGCATGACCCCGGGGTCCTGGGACCGAGTCCCACGTCAGGCCCCTGCATGGGGCCTGCTTCTGCCTCTGCCTGTGTCTCTGCCTCTCTCTCTCTGTCTCTTATGAATAAATAAAATATTAAAAAAAAATAAAAGCAGAAGCATAATGGAAATTTGGTATAAATCCTACCGAGGGCCTTCGTCAGATAAGGAAAAGGAAGAGACTGAGGAAGGGGCATGCGGGCCCCTGGCCTGAGCCCCCTGGGACCTCTCTGGTGCCGCCTCCTTCCTGTGCTCACTGCCCAGGAGCCTGAGAGGATGAGGGGGAAGGGACGACGCCCTGGCTGTGCCCGGGGCCCCCTGAGGGCAGCGTGGGGCTCCTCACGCCTCCGCGCCCCCACCTGGGAGACACGGACACGACTGCCAGGGACCTAGCTCAGGGGAGGGAGGCCGTCCCTCACGCAGCGGCTGGCGCGTGACACCAGGACCGTGGGTCTTGAGTAGCCGGGACGCCAAGCGAGTCCCCTCACGAGGCGACGAAGTCCCACCGGGAGTACAACGCCAAGCGAAGGGAAAATTCAGAGGAGAGGCGTGCCCGGGCCCCGCGTGGAGACGAGGAAAGGGAGGAGGAGGGACCTTGTCGACCGGGCAGCCCAGGGCCGGCGGCGGTGCCAGGCCTCCAGGCGCCCGAGCTCCACCCCGCGGTCCCCTCCTGCCCTCGGCTGGCCCAGCAGTTGGACGGGGACCCGGGCCTGCCTCATGGGGCTGCTGTCGGAATGACCTGGCACGTCGTGGGAAGCTGGCGTGGCCCCTGCGGGTGACGAAGGCCTGATGCCTGCGCACCAGGCCCGTGTCCCTCGGGGAAGCTTCCCCACCGGCAGCGCCAGCCACCCAGCACCCGGTGCGGGTTCCGGGCCCGACGGCCGTCTCCACCACAGGCACACGAACCCACGAACACGAACCACTCGGGAGGGACTGCTTGGCCGAGTGGCTAGAGCCGCTTGCCCGTCTCTGGGGCCTGGCTCGGGCGGTTGCCCCTGAACCCCGGCTGCCAGAGCCAAGACCAGCCCGCGCCGACGCCAGCCTTCTGCCAAGGGCCGCACGGGCCTGTCCCGCCCGTGGGACCACCGACAGGTGTAAGTGCTCTGCCTGTCCGCCCTCCTTCTGGAGTCTGCTTCCCGGCAGACACAGGGACACAGCGCTCGGGCTGCGTCAGCCCAGGGTCCCCCGAGGGGCTCTGTTTCCACTGGGCCCCCCGCGGCGCAGCCTCACCCCAGTAACAGAGCTCCATCGAGCTCCCCTCAAGACCACTACTACTTATTTTACCCTGGTTACCAGAAACGGTCTCAACAACAAACAATCCAGTGTCCTGAGTGCCGTCGGCCATCCCTGCTTCGGGGACGTTGGAAACCCCATCTCTCTTTTAAGGCAGCTTTGAAAGACAAAACCAGATGATGGAGGGTATTTGAGAAGGGAGGTGGGGTGGCCACCAAGGAGCTGGGATCTTGCCCCTCTCGGTAATAACCCGGATCCCCTTCCCTCCACACCAAATTAGTAAAAGGAGGACAGTGAGAACTTTCTGGAAGCCTCTCGCTCTGGACTCCAAAGGGCACAGAAAACAGCCGGTTCTCCCCGGTGCGCTTGTCCCAGGGCCCGGTGCCGAGGGCAGGGAGCCACAGGGCCGCTGACCCCTCCCCTGCACAGGCAGGCCCAGGCCTCGCCCAGCGCCCGGCTGCCCAGGATTTGCCCACGGCCCGTCTGGAAAACACGTCTGTTCCCCTGCCTTGGGGTGCCCGGCCAGGGTCCCCCGTGCTCCAGGGCCCGGGCACAGGGTGAACAGGCCACCTCCCAGGGGGAAGGTGCTCGCACCTGCACCCTGCACAGCAGCCCAGTGATGCGGCAGCGGCAGGGAACCTGGGAAGCCAGATGGCAGGGCAGCCCCGGATCCGGGGTGCGCCTCCCCACCCCCCTGCCCCCAGCCCTGCCTGCGCCTCTGTTACTCGGCGGGACTGGAGGCCAGAGGCTGATGGCAACAGCAGATGTGACTGCGCAGCCGGGCGGGAGGGGCCGCAACCCACGCTGCCCCGGGGATGGAGGAAAGCCCGCGGGGGAGAGGGGGGTGCAGGGGTACCAGGATGCAGGGGGCGGGAAGGGCCAGGGTGCAGGATGCAGGGAGGGCCGGGGTGCAGGGTATAGGGGTGGGGGCCAGGGTGCAGGGGGGCTGGGGTGCAGGGGGGGAGGGGTGGGGCCAGGGTGCAGGGGATGGGGTGCAGGGGGCGGGGTGCGGGGGGACCAGGGTGCAGGGGAGCAGGGGGCAGGGAGGGCCAGGGTGCAGGGTATAGGGAGGGCCGGGGTGCAGGGGGGAGGGGTGGGGGCCAGGGTGCAGGGGGTGGGGTGCAGGGGGGCTGGGGTGCATGGGGGGAGGGGTGGGGCCAGGGTGCAGGGGGTGGGGTGCAGGGGGCAGGGTGCGGGGGTACCAGGGAGCAGGGGGCAGGGAGGGCCAGGGTGCGGGGGGCTGGAATGCAGGGTGCAGGGAGGGCCGAGGTGCAGAGGGGAGGGGTGGGGGCTGCGGGTAGGGGATGGGGTGCAGGGGGACCAGGGTGCAGGGGGCCAGGGCACGGGGACCGGGGTGCAGGGGAGCAGGACACAGGGGATCAGGGCCCTGAGGCCCAGCATCTGGGAGACACAAAAGGAAAGAGCACCCAGGGGAGTTTGCTTGGAGGAGGGGGGCCAGGAAGCTGGGCGAGCTGCCCAGGGACGGGGCTGTGGCTTCAGACGGGCCTGAGCTTTGGGGCGGGGGGTCCTGACTGGGCCTCTGAGTTGCTGGATCAACTCCCTAATTCTTCAGAGCCTCCCTCCTCCCTTTCTGCAGAAGGGACTCAAAACCCCTAAAAATGAGGTGGGTGTGGAGAACGTAATTATTTCAAACACCCCACAGGGCGGGACACAGGTTTCAACCAACAGAAACAGTCCTTGTTCCTACCTGTGAGGCCCTCAGCGGTGCTGTGGGTCCGGGCCTCAGTCTTCTCATCTTTAAAATGGGAGTAGTACTCCCTTCCGCCTGGGTTTCTTGAGAAGACTGAAGGAGATCATGGGAAATCGGCCCATCAAATATGCTCAGTAAACTCCAACCGTATCCTTTCTCCACCACCCTCACACCCCTCCCTTCCTTCCCCTGCTGGCAAAGGGGGCGCCCCCACGGCGACAGGAGAGGGCTGTCTCCCCGAGCCACAGGGTTGCAGTGCAGAAATCCTAAAACACACAGGGATTAAGAAATGCTAATAATGAAAAAGATGAGCAAAGGTAATGAAACATGAAGCTAAATTCACGAGAAGAAAATCTGGTATATTCCAGAACTGTAAATATTTAAGTTTAGCCTGAGACACTGGACAGAACTGGGGCCTGGGGCGGGGGGGTGAGGGGGAGGTTCCAGCAGGGTCTGTCTGTCTCACACACACTTTAGCCCCCTGGGTGGACAAGAGCCCCGGGACCCCGACCCACCCAGACCTCGGAGGTGACGTAGAGCAAGTGCGGTGCAGCGGGAACGTGAGGGGCGACCGTGAGGGGCCCAGAGGTGAGGAAGTGAAGCGCGCAGGGGGGAAGAGGAGGCCGCCCCGAGGCCCGCAGGCTCAGAGAGCCTGGAATAGAGGGGGAGATGGAAGCAGTGGGGGCTCAGCCCTGCTCAGCTGTCCCCGAGGTGACACCCTGGGGAGACTCCGCGTCCTCTTGGATTCCAGAACACGGGCAGACGTCCACTGCCAAGGCCTCAAAGGTAACCTCTTCCCCCTGGACAGCGGGGATACAACTACACAGGATGAATGAAACTGAAATCGAGCAGAACGTAGTTGGAGACACTTAGTGCCGCTGTGCCCACGCTTTCCCTCCCTGCCCCAACACGCACACGCACACGCACACGCTCCTCAGACGCTGGGTTCGGCGTAAGCATCGAAAACTGCCCTCCAACTAAGGAAGGCTGGGGCATCACCAGAAGCCCGTCAAGAACAGGCAGGATGGTTATGGGGGGAAACAGATTTGGGAGCCCGCACCCCACCACGGGGGGCCATCGACAGCCGGGCCTTGGGACTGCTTCCTTGGTCCCAGGCCCCACGCCTGCCGCCCGCAGTGCCCTGGGTAGCGGATGCTGAAGAAATAACACTGTAGTCACAAGACATTGATTCCTGTCCCTTGTGTGACCTTGAGGACAGGACTCAAAACTCAGAGCCTGTTTCCCTCACCTGTAAACGGCAGGATCTGCTCCCAGACCTGCTCGCGGGGCTCTCCGAGGACTAGGCGAGGTCAAGGACGCGAAAGCCCTACTCAGAGGTGTCGTTCTTTGCCCACGAAGGCGGTGGCTCACGCGGCCTTGCCTGGTCTCCCAGGCCCAGACGGAAGCAGGTGCGGGAGGCCTGGCCCGCGGCGGCACGTAGACCTGCGGCAGCGGCTCTGTGGGAAGGGCTCCCGACGGGGCCCCGGCTCCACGGCTCCCAGCGTCTACAGTGAGAAGAAAGCGCGTGTTTTGAGAGCAGCGGACCCGAGCAGGCCTGCCAAGTAAACCACGTGTAGGAGAGAAGCAGTGAGCTCGTCCAGAAGCATTCTCAAGGCTCAGCTGAGGGATGTCTTAATAGCAGAAAACAGAGGGACAGACGTCTGTCTTGGCTTTACCTGGAGGATCCTGCAGGGAAGAGAGAGGAGACACACTATTCTGGAGTATAAAGCAGCAAATGACAACTTAGAGCAGGGGGGAGGCCTTTGAC